GAATTAGAAATTCAGTTAACCAAAAAAACCGAATTTCAATATATAACAATGTAATATATAATTATAATATATAATATGCTATATATTATATACAATGTATTATAATGAAACTCAGTTTCATAATGTATATTATAGGTTATAATATATAATGTTTTATGTATATTAATTAAATTCGGTTTTAACTGAAAACCAAACAAAAAATTTCGGTTTCTCTTATTTCGGTTTTCTTGTAATTCGGTTTCGGTTTGGTTTTCATTATTTTATTTTGGTTTTTTTGGTTTGGTTAATAACCAAATAAATGGAATGCTCACCCCTAGTAGATGAGCCAATACTGAAGAATGCCACACGTTTTGGATGGACATGTGGTGAATACTGGCCAAGCCCCGATCAGTCATCAAGGTTGGTGTAACTGCTGCTAGCCTCCTCGTCCCACCTTTGAACGGTTGTGTTACCCACACTTCACAATGACCCAGTTGGTGATCACCTCGAAAGTTGAGTGTCCCACGAGCAAGGAGCACAATAGCACTCTTGGGCACCTATATAAGTGCATGCCACCCAATGTGAACTCTCTTGACACTTTTGCTACCTGAACTCTCTAAGCTCATTTGCTTTCTTAAGCTCTTCAACTTGTACAACTGGCTTAGCTTGTCATTGATTCCTTTATTGACTTGAGCATTGGAAACCATCTTAGGGCCTTTGATCATTTGTGCTCGCAGGTCGCTAGATCCAACTCAACTTGTTCAGCTCACCAAGACATTTTCTTCTTGTCCACCTTAGCTCAGACAACGTTTTTTTATCAATACTCAGACAACATTAGTAATAAAGATAGAAATTGTCAGGTTGTGTTTCAATTTCTAGATAGAAAATGTTTTACTTGGTCCAATCTCCAAGTGAACCCAATTTGCTCTAAGTTGGATAGATTTCTATTCTCAAATGACTGGGAAGAACATTGGGGGAATCTAAACTCTAGAGCATATCCAAGAAAAAAGGGGTGATTTGTAAACTAGATTTGGAAAAGGCTTATGATTTGGTGGATTGGTCTTTCTTGATGGAGGTGATGACCAATTTTGGTTTTGGAGATAATTGGTGCAGATGGGTCTTGGGTTGTATCATGAACTGCCATTACTCTATATTGGTAAATGGGATAGTGGTCGATTTCTTCCCAGCCTTGAGAGGGATTAGGCAAGGAGACCCCCTCTCCCCCTTTTTATTTACTTTGGTAGCTGAAGTTCTGGGGAGACTAATTTATAGAGCAAATTCCAGGGGCTTAATTAGAGGTTGGAGAGTTGGGAGGGAGCTTGTTCCACTCACACATTTGCAATTTGCAGATGACACCATACTCTTTTGTGAAGTAGGGGACCCTAACAGGATTAGAAATTTGAAGCTCACTATACGACTTTTTGAGCAAATGTCAAACCTTAAGGTGAATTTTGAGAAGAGTTGTATAGTTGGGGTAAATATGGGCAAGGGGGAGATCTCTGAGGCTGCAGACATCTTAGAATGTTCAATAGCAAATTGGCCCCTTAATTACCTCGGTTTGCCATTGGGTGATAACCCTCGGAAAGGTGAGTTTTGAGTTCCAGTTGTGGAGAGGTTTGAAAAGAAATTAGCAACCTGGAAGAAAAATTATTTGTCTCTTGGAGGGAGAACCACTCTAATCAGCTCTACTTTAGTTGACCTTCCTGTTTACTTTTTGTCAATCTTCAAGATTCCGACAAAGGTGGCTAGTAGATTAGAAAAACTAATGAGAGACTTTCTCTGGGAGCCGGGGGAGGAGAAGGACCAT